GATGCAGCAATGTTTAGTGGGTTAAACATACAAATAAAAAAATGGATGTTTTTTATTGTACGACCATGCTGTATGGGTTGTACTGATTTACCTCAGTACAAACGATACTACACGGTTATATAGAAGGGATGTAATTTTAGTTAGTTAAAAATCTGAATAAAAAAATTACTGAATTTCTCCTCCAACAACCATGTTGCATTGGTTCTACTGATTTACCTCAATACAACTGCTACAACATGGTTGTATTGAAGGGATCTAGTACTGTTTAGTTTGTTAAAAATCTAAATAAAGAAATTTTTATTTTTCCGTATTTGTATAATTATGTTTTATTGGTTATATTGATTTAGTTCTGTACAACTCGACGCATCAATATCCTATGACGGGTCGAGTCAGGCCACACCGTTACTAACGCCGTTACTCATGAATTCTTTAAAATAAAATAGAAATAATAAATAGTCGACACGTGGTATTTGCAGTTTGGCTTTCACACATAAAGCTACATGTGCTATAAAGACGTAATATATTTTTTTTTTTTTTTTTTTTTTTTTTGGTGATTCATTGACACGATAACAAGTTGAGCTTCCCGAGCCACAAGTCAAACTCCAACTTAGGTCACTATGAGCTTAACATTGAGTTCTATAAGACATATCGAGCTAGTTTAATGAAATTCTGCAAAACAAACTTAAACATAGTTTATTTTCCATTCAATTTATCGCATTTAGCGGAATTATATATCTTAAATCGGCAATTCTCGGTAACATCTCTTTTTATCAAACACCACTTCTCCCGTCGTTGTCTTTTCTAGTATTTTGAATATTCACTACAACTTTTTCATTGTCGATATTGCTTTCTATGGTAAGCTCGCATCATAATTATTTGGCTACATCATCGAATCTAACGGGTAGTTCTTCAATTTAGAAGGAAGAGAAATCAAATATGTTGTCATATATATCGATATTTATTAATGGCATGACAACCAACACTATCAGTCTTGTTGACAACGAGTCTACTCAGACTCCGTACTATACAACTAATAACATAGTTTTATGTTTTATTCTTTAGACCCCTGCGAGAGTACATTGGCTCGTGACATATAAATAAGTAAAAATATAGGAGGAGGAGAATCTCTGAATTTTGAACCCTCAGAAGAACTCATTGATCACCTCTCTAGAGCAAAATTCCTCAGCTTCTACTCTCTCCTTCCTCACCGTCTCTCTCTAATCGTATGAGTTCACGAATTATACGAGATCTCACCTCCAAAAATGATTTAACAAATTCGACTATCATCATATTAATAAGCATGAATAGAGCTCCAATAATCAAATGACTGACAAAGGAACTGAGTTTGAACATAAACACAAAACACTTGATTTGAGCTCGAGCTTGAATTGCATATACAAACCCTAAACTCGAACACAACCCTGCGCAACTCAACTCAGCTCAGTTCGTTCGCAGCTCAAACTATAACTCTGTTCCCATTTCTTTCCATAAAATATTCATACAATATGTTTTAATGACACGAACAGTTTATTGATCTGAACAAACATCCAACAATCTTCCACATTTTTTACAGTAAAATAAACTAAAAAACAGTAGAATTTATGAATTAAACATTTAAAAAATATTATTCCAGAAAATAAAAAATGGAATCTTGCATCGCCATCATATAATCTTTAGGGAAGAAATTATGTGTTTATAGTCATTTAATTTTAAAAGCACAATATTTTATTTTATTGAGTTGGGTAACCGTTAAAATCTAATTATTAAATTATGTTAATTAATAAATAGATATTAATAAAATATTATATAATTAATAATTAATTCTACGAATGGAAATTGTATTTTTTTTATTTTAAAAGTTAAAATAACATACTAAATATTTGGAGTGTGTAAATAAAAAAATAAAATTTAGGTACCAGAGATATAAATACATGAAGGATTTTGTATTAGATGTATAATGGCATGTATATAAATTCTCATAAATTTTACATACATATAAAGATGTATTTGAATGTGATAAAATAGCTTTTGATTATTTATATGTTAATGTGGCTGCGACTATTTATATGAGGTTATTTTAGTCTCAGAGTTTATTGAATTATCAGAGTAGCCCACGAACATTTTAAATTTGAATTGAAAAAATTTTCATGGAGAACTATTAGAACTTAATTTTAAAATAATCGGGATTATTTTGACGCTTCTATAAACTTTGAGACTAAAATAATCAAATATAAATAATCGAGAACTATTTTTTGGCATTTAACGCTTTACATTTATAAGGATTGGCGCTATATTAATATATAATTTGATAGGTAGAGCAATGGCGTCGCATTGCAAGCTTTATAATGTGCTTGATCGGATTAATATAAGCTGCCAACCTATTATAATTTTGATAAATTAAGTAAATAATTTTATATGCTTTTTTAACATATTTAACGTATTTTTGCCTATTCATAAATTATTGAAAGATTTTAATAAATGCTATTCATAAATCATTTTTTTGTCTGTTTTATATAGTAATTGGAATATATTTGATAAATATGGGCATTTACAAGCGTAGCACTTAATTCTTATATATTTACATATCTAACACTTAAATTATAGTTTGTATGTAATTAATGTCATATTTATTGCCTGTTCATAAAGTATTAACATTAGCTTGTATGTAATTTTTGTTTACCATCAATTAATCATGCATGTTTGTAAGAAAATAAAGAACCATCCAATTTCTAATTTTTCTCAGTGGAAATTTGCATGCATGCTACATAATTCTTTTGTATTTACGTGTATAACACTTAAAATTTTGATATTTATACTTATAACATTGTTATGGGGTAAATCTATGCATGAAAATATATATTTTATATTTTAAGAAAATAGCAATAGTGATATTTTCTTGTCTCCTCCCTCGAATCGGAGGCGTCGCCGATCTTCTGCTCAGAGGGACAGTGTTGAACGATCGAAGATTATCCCCAACTTCCGGTTTTGCTCGATCGGCAAAGCTAATTGGGAAGACAACAATGGGATCGATGCAAAGCTCCTATGATTAATATTAATTATATTTATTTAAAAAATAAATAATTTGATAAATGTTTTGAATTCTAGTCATCATCAATATTTTATAATTAATTATATCTTTATAAATTCAGCTACTTATACTTACGAAATACAATTATAGTGGTATATAAATAAATTTGGAGTAATGTAACTAGGGCTGTAAACGAGCCAAACACGAGCGAGTCATGCTCAGCTCGTGTTTGGCTTGTTTATATTTCGAGCTCAAAAAGTGTGTTCGTGTTCGGCTCGTTTGCTTAATTAGTCGAACACGTAGCAAACGAGTCGAATACGAGCTGTTCACTAACAAAGAGTCCTTTTAACAACCCTAATCATGTAGTCATAAAACAATAAGGGTTTGAGCAAGATTTATTGGCGAGCCGAGCACGAGTTTCTTAACAAGTCAAACACGAGTTATTGGCGAACAACGAGCCATTTGACAGCCCTAATTGTGGGGACTGGAGGGAAGGAAGTGGGTGAAGTTTAGGTGGCCTCTCATTATTTGAGAACCAATGAGGTGAAGACACGGCATCTGGAAGAGATTATTTGAAGCAAATAATCTTGAAGTTAGTTATTGTTAAGGCTCTAAAAGGTAGTGGGCTTAAAAAAATAATAAATTCTGAATGAGTAAAGTGCCGCCGAATTGGGGGTGGCTGCAATTATTAAAAAAAAATAGTTGAAGAGTTATGATAAAGAATGTAATTTTATGAAAAGTTATTATGAAAATTATAAATATATATAGTTTCAAAAAAAAATTAGAGAAGGGTTACATTATGTCTAACATAATTTAACAGGTCATGTTGAAAAAAATAGCTTCTCATTATAAAAATTTTTTAGAAATTTACAAGAAAATATTTCCCAAAATAAAGTTCTGGCAACGATCTAAAAGATCAAGGCATTTAAAAAGCTATCCCAGGCAGAAGTTTTGGAGTTTATACAAGTGTCAAAATCATCCCCAAAAACCTTAAATTGAGGTTGAAATAGTCGAGATAGATGATGATTTGAGCTTAACTTTAAGATAGTTGGCATTTTACTCGATTCTGGAGCTAAAACGGGACCTAAAACGTAAATATTCATGAGACTATTTTGGCATTTTACTCGATTCCAATTTTCGGTGGATGTAATAGACTTATATTTGAAATAGTGAGAAAAAATAATCTCTCTTTATTTTAGGCTTTTATTTTATTTTATTTCGAACTACATGTAAAATGCAATTAAATGAGTCTTAGTTGATCAAAAATGTTGAGAATGTAGGAGTCAAGAAAGTTGTTATGTATGACTCATATACCATAAATGGGGCAGATGCTGGAGCAGAAGGATTTGTCCAATCGGTGGAGTTTTATTATGTGTGTTGGGGGTGCAGGACCAACAACCAGCGGTTTGGTACATGGGTAATTTAAGTAATTACATATTGTACTATAGGGTTATATATATGTCATGTCTGTAAACCTAGGTGAGCCCCTGAGTCCTTGAGATTCTGAATCTTGTATTCTTTACTCTTTTATGAATATTGAGAACAAATTCGTCGCTCTACTCCCGAGGATGTAGGCATCTTTGCCGAACCTCGTAAATCTCTGTGTTTTCTTTTGAATTTGTGTCGATTCATATTTTTCTTCGCCTTAATTTCTCAACAAGTGTTATGAAAGTCTGGTTCTAGGGCAGAAGAGGAGAAATTTTGTCGACGCGGGGAAGAAGAAGCACGCGGAAGGAAATTCGCGAATTGCAGCAATGGGAGTTGGCGAATCTTCGTGGCCACGATGTGAGGTAGGAACCCAGGCTTCGCATAGGAGCTCACGGGAGGAGT